GGATGCTGCAACAATGTAACTCCACTTAATGCAGTAACCTGAGCTGTCCATGAAAGTGACCAGTCACATTAGGACACTTTCTTTGCTTTCTTTGGGCTCCCCCTCCAAACAGTCACAAATCTAATGATTTAAGCAAGCAGGATTCACATCAGAGTTGTGCCCAAGAAATTAAATTATTTGCTCGGATTATATTTTTTCCCTTTGACTTATGGTACAAAAAATTATTCCATGCTATAAGTTCAAAACGGTTAGATCGGAGCTCAGTAAGTAGAGTAAAAAAATTTCCCCTGTATGAACAGCAGAGAAAAGTACATGTCTTATCTTACCAATCAATCCTGATGTTTATTCCCGTTCTCCCATTGTCCTACTTTCTGTTTTCCAATAATGTCATCTGTGGGGATTTTTATTGCAGATCTCTATAAAGATGCCTGAGGTTCGGGACCTTTCTGAAGCTTTGCCAGAGATGCCAATGGACCCAATCACTGGAGTCGGAGTAGTAGCCTCTAGGAATAGAGCACCCACTGGATATGATGTGGTAAGCAACATAACATAACTCAAGAATGATTGGTCAGAATTGCCAAATACCAGAATTTTTCCCACACTATTAGATTTTATTTTTTGCAGTAACAGAAATATCTAATTTGCACATTTATGTACTTGTGTGTGCGCATGAAAGGAGGCACTTACATGCTTTCTTAAATTAATTTAATTTCTTAAATATTCTATTGTGACAAAAATAATTGAGCAATAATCGCATGTGTTCCCAGTGAGGGCTTCTCTCGTGGATAAACTCCAACATCTGACATACAAACCTGTTTTTGATTTGGTGCACATTCCGGTTAGCAAAATGGTTAGCTGGTTGTTAGGAAAATATAAGCAGTGACTGAACTTCAGTGATGCACAAATTCCTTTTTTTTTTTTCTTTTTTTTTTTAAACTTGCCAATAGTGATTCTGTTTTGTTTTTGTTTTTTTGTTGTCTTTTTTTTTCTGTTCACCCAATTCCAAATGTCTATGGAAAAACACATGTATTATTCTCCGTGTATATGATGATAGCCCAGACTTAAGAGTGTTTTGCTGTGAATTAGTCTTCATGTATTAGGTGGATGACAGTGTGTGTTTGCCAACAGTAGCAGCTGCTTTAGCATTTGTAGCAACTTTTTACCTGGTAGTTTACAGTTAAAGAGGAGCAGAATCACTATCCTTCTTTTCTGTGAAATAAGGGATGTGCATGACTTGTTAACCAAGCAACTAATCGTTGCTATTGTCACTAGTCGGTACAAGACGTAGTAATCATTTAACCTAATTGCTATCATTTTAATTGATGCGAGGTGATGGTAAATTGTTGTGCCTAAATGTTATACAGCCATGTGCTGCCATTTGTGGCATCATTGTTGAGAAACTCCATTAATCTGTTAATTTTGGGCTAATGTATTGTTGTTACTTCTTTCATAAGCGAAAGGAAAAGATTGAGGATACGAGTAAGGAAAATGGGCTTTCCGTTAGAATAAGATTAATAGTTCAATTATTTGTGTGGGGTTCAGAGTAGGGCTGCCACGATTAGTCGACTAGTCACGATTACGTCGACTATCAAAATCATCGACGACTAATTTAATAGTCGAGAATTCATAGCGCGGCCTTGCTCAGTTTCCAACAATGGCAGTAGCTAGTTAGTTTTAACATTACTCTTATTATTCTATGTGGGCCACAAAATAAACGTTTAACATATTTTCAGGCGAGAATGTAGCTGTGTAAACCTCAAATATCTGCTCAGTTTATCAAGACACCACATATTTTCAAAAGCGCTCCGACGTTTTCGGAGACGTCTGTTACCCACTAGCTCGATAGCTAGCCGGGGTTCAAGGCTCACTAGAGCCGTGAGAACACCGGACTCCCGGCAAATCGTTTTCAAACCCACCGCCGTCTTTCGCTACTCAGGTTAAACATATATAAGTCACTTAGATAACTTAAAAATGTTATTGTTTGGCTTTTTTCAGTATTTTATTTGTTCCTGAGTAAATTGGTTTGGCTGAGATTAAAGTTATAGTTTTTACACAGCTGAATAAATGTCATACAGACAGCTGATTATCAGAAGTGTGAGATGCTCGAGAATTTACTCCGGTGTCCTGTTATATTTTAGATAGCAAGGAGTTTATTAAACTTCACCGAAACAATCTGCAAATATCATTAAAATTTAATAAACTATCATCTTGTCTTTATTTTTAGTTAGCACATACCGTAAACACTTAAAGCTGTAAGCTAATGATAGTTATATAAGAGCAGATGCCGCTGGTGCAATAAGCTGTACGTTTTACGTCCAATGGATGATGATCTGATTAGTCGACTAATCGCAAAAATAATCGGTGACTAGTCGACTATCAAAATAATCGTTTGTGGCAGCCCTAGTTCAGAGTAGAGCTGCTGCTCCTTGATGAAAGGAGCCAGTGTAGGTGTAAGATAAAGGTGTTTCCTCTCTTACCGGGAGATGGTCCGGGGTAAACCCAGAACACTCTCAAGAGATTACATCTATTGGCTGACCTGGGAACGACTCGATATTTCTCAGTATAGGCTGGAGGAGGTGGCTGCAGAGAGGGATGTCTGGGCTTCCCTGCTTAGACTCCTGCCCCTGCAACTTCAGATAGGCGGAATAAAATTGCTGGATGATTTATTGATTTACTATTTTAGATATTCATTTTTTTTCTTAATATCTTGTCCTGTCTTATTCCTGTGTTATTTCACATATTACGTTATATATGGTATAGTATGACGATGTCTAAGGCAAGACTGGCAAGAGAGGGGGAAAAAAGGAGAAAGTGGTGTGGGACAAAAAGAGACAAACTCAAAAACAAAGTGGGTGAGTGAGTGGGTGTGGGGATGCCTGCGTCTTTGTAACAAATGCTGCACCAAACAAGCAGAACTGAGTCAAAATGCACCGCAAGCCGCCTGTTGACTCCCGTTTTTTTTGTTTCTTGTTTTGTTATTTAAGGGATACAGGAAGATGTCCCTCCTCCTCACTTAGTGTTTAAGGTGCTATGTTGTTAGATTTTAACTTTTATTGAAGTAGTTGCTATGAATTTCTGAACAGCGCGCCTCGTCCAGAATAGACGGGAACACTGTGCCACAGTTTTCAGTTGCAATTCATTAGATTCTCAAATGTTAATTTGTCATATTTTAATAATACGTGAACATCTTTTATAGCAAGTTTATATTATAACATTTAATATTTATTTATTTAACATCGGTTTATTTTTGTCTTCGTTTTCTGTTTGGAGTGTAATGTGGTCAGTATGCACAATGTGAGGTCCTGCACGGTTAAGCAGCATGATTCATAATTGAAGAATGTGATTAATGTTTTCAAATGCCTTTGTTTAGAGTTTTTGTCATTGGCCGTTAAACGGTTCTCAAATTTAACTTGATATTTGAGTGTCTTAGTTTTACAGTTTTTTTTTTGTTTTTTTGTTTTTTTGTTTTTTTGTTTCTCAAGTGATTTAGTGATTTTTTTTATTTATTTATTTATTTTTTCCTCCCTCGTTTAGCTGACTAAAAAATTGGCCATGAGGAAAATCTTTTCAACTATTACCTTCACAAGTGCAATCAACCAAATTTGAATTTCTGTTACCTACCAGGAATTTAGCTTGTTAATACAATACAGTTTTATTTATATAACACATTTAAAAGCCCAAAGGCACACCAAAGTGCTTCCTCATTATACAGAGAATCAACGTAAATCAATTAACAAAGTACAGATTGGGCACTAGCACAGATAGAAGGCATGCACTAATAGACCAGAAGAGTTAAGTAAAATAGGTATCAAACCTCAAATCGGGAGGAAGGTCAGTTCATGAATACAAAATATCAACTAAGAAGTTAAAAACCAGCAATAAAATTATTTGTAAGTTTAATAAGGGTATTAAGTGGTCGGGAATAAGCCAGGTTAAATAAGTAAGCTTTCAATCACGATTTGAAGGATTGAATAGAGTCTGTGGCACGAATAGAAGCAGGGAGGCTATTCCAAAGTTTAGGTACAACTGAAGCAAAGGCACGATCACCTCTGGTCTTCAGCCTAAACTTAGGTTGGGCCACGAGTAATTGACCTGATGGTCTTAAAGCTCAGCAAGGAGTGTACAGATTGAGGAGATCATCCACAGATATTGTTATTCTTGTCTCAGAATAATGAAAATCTATCCCCCTCTGCTTATAGATCTCAACAACAACAGATGGCCTGGATGCTGACCTGTGGAAAGACGGACTTTTCAAATCCAAGGTGACCCGATACCTTTGCTTCACCAGAGTTTTCTCTAAAGAAAATGTAAGTTTACTTACCTCCTCAACAGTTAAATAAGTGTCCCACCCCCTCTCCAATAAACATCTCCTTTCTCAATACCATATTCTTGTACTCTATTCTTTCCTCTGCAGAGCCATTTAGGTAATGTTCTTGTGGACATGAAGCTGATTGATATAAAGGACACTTTGCCTGTGGGTTTCATCCCAATCCAGGAAACTGTTGATACTCGTAAGTTATTATCTCAAGTGGAAAGACACTTAGAGCCTCAATGTGTGGTAAGAATATGTGAAAATAATTAATCTTTTTAACCTGTGAAATAAGAATTGTTTGTTATTCATGAACCACCTTGTTGTGGAATGACCGTCAGTTTGTCTTTTCTGCAACAGAGGAGCAGGCCTTCAGGAAGAGGCGACTCTGCATCAAATTTATTCCACGGGACTCCACAGAGGCAGCCATCTGTGATATCCGCATCCTGGGACGCTCCAAGCAGGCACCTCCTCAGTATACCTTTATAGGGTGAGCATTGCAACTTCCAGTCAAATGTAACTTTTTGTTTTCTTTTCTTTTTTTTTTTAAACAGAAGAAAATAGTTTATAAATAAAAAAGTTGTTTGTACTGTAATGGAATCACTCCATTTGGCATAACAGTTTCCACTTACTCCAGAAATCAAGTCACATTAATCTTTTTCACATTTTTAATGTATGATGGAATGTTCAGGGCATTTCTATCAGAAAGTTTTCTACATGAAAAGACACTTCCAGTATGTCAGATGTGTTCCACATGAGAGCTAACGAATCCAAATCATTTCTGGCAAAGTGTTTATTTAAAATAAAAAAAAACCTTTGTCCCCAAAACATTTCTAGGATAATTGCTTAGAGAATGTATGAAGGGGAAAGGAGGGCATGGATTTAATACACACACGCTTTGACTAGCAGGTTTACATTAACCTTGGAACTGGTGTCAGCGCTTTCTGCTTAATAATGCTTCTAACATTGTTTGACAGAGAGCTCAACAACATGGGAATCTGGTATCGCATGGGAAATGTGCCTCGGGCCCAGGACTCCACACACACACAAACCATCAACAACACCCAGAATGTGAATTCCTCCAGCTCAGGATCAGCCCCACCAGCTCCCATGCTTAAGTAAATTCACTCTAATGATGTGCTAGTACTTGTATGTAATTGTCTTCACTTGTATCTCTTATTAGTTCTTGTAACCTTAAAAGAGAAATACAACACAAAACAAAGCAAGTGCACTGTAACAATACAGGTTGCACAGATTAGCACTTTATCTTGGTATTGCCTAGAAGTTATGGAATGTACATGCAAGTAGTGATTCATTCGCTTGTGAGTGCCCCAACACAGAGAAGATGTATCTTCAGATGTCACAAAAATAGTTATGATGATATGTTTAAATTAACAGTGGATATTTATTTTTACACCTTTGAATGAATCAGTGGAGGAACTTCCTTAACTTTCTTGTCATCTTCCTATTTCAATTGTTCCAGATCGTATGCCTCCATGTCCATATTACCAAATCCAGTAAACATCTGTGGTCTTTCTCTTTTTCTCCTCCCTGGCAGCTCCATACTCAGCATCCTTTTTCCACTATACCTCATCTGCACATCTCCAGACCAACTTAGCCTTGCCTCTTTTATTTTGTCTCAAACTCCTTCAACCCAAGTTGTCCATTTGGAGCGATTTAATTAAACTTTTATAGAAAATGTGCTTAAGAGTTCAAATAATAAAATAATGAGTAACATAATTTCTTTTAATATTAATGGAACAATTGAGAATTGAGCAGAGCACGTTACAGATTTAAAAAGGATGTTTTTTTTGGGTTTTTTTTTAGTTTTCTCTCTCAGATCTTGCACAACATTATATATTTTAAAAATCCCCTCTCACCCCTGCGGGCGGTCTGTCCTTTAAGCTCAGGTCCTCTACCAGAGGCTTGAGGGTCCTGCGCAATATCTTTGCTGTTCGTAGGACTGCGCTCTTCTGGACAGAGATCTTGGATGTTGTTCCTAGGATCTACTGGAGCCACTCGGCTAGGTTTTGGGTCACTGCACGGAGTGCTTCGATTACCACTGGGACCACTGTTACCTTTGCCCCCCAAATCTTTTCAAGCGCTTCTCTGAGTCCTTGGTACTTCTCTAGCTTCTCGTGTTCCTTCTTCCTGATGTAGCGATACCGAATGACAGCTACATCTATCACTACGGCCGTCTTCCTCTGCTTGTCCAACACTACTATGTCTGATTGGTTACCCACCACTATTTTGTTCGCCTGTATCTGGAATTCCAGGATCTTGGCTCGGTCATTCCTGACCATCCTAGGGGGCGTCTCCCATTTATACCTCGAGACTTCCAGGTACTGGGCTCAGATCTTTCTGTATACTAATGCCGGCCACTTGGTTATGGCGTTCCATTAATGCCCTGCCTGCCAGCATCTTGCACCCTGCTGTTATATGCTAGATTTCTCCGAGGCATCTTTACACAGCCTGCTCCTGGGATCTTGCCTGATGTGATAGACTGCAGCCTCCATGGATCTTGTCCTCAGAGCTTGTTCCTGTGTTTCCATGATTACTGCCTCTGTGGCGTGTTTTTGTCCAGCCACTAGTAGGATTTGTGGACATCAGCCACTTCATCTATCGATTGATTGATCACAGCAGAAACCCGTGAAAGAGGAGGAGCCACCATCAAAAATATATATATTTCAGCTACTGTAGCAAAGATCATTTTCAAATTAAGTACATTATAACAATGTATGAATAAGTACTCTAGGATGAAGAGAAATTACCCAACAAGCCATAGTCAAAAATTTGGATACAGCTCTAATGTACAACCCAACTTCCTTTGCTTAGCTGTGCAATTTGACAGTCCAGGATTAGTTCTAGCTGACACAGCAGGAGTGGATAGTGATAGTTTCTTTAAAATCTTGAGCTATTTGGCTCACTTTCACATATATATTGAACTACTGAGGTGCTTAATGTTTTTCTTTTTGTTTCAAGGCATATTTCCATGACCCTCCCTGCCAGCTTCAGAGGAAAAAATACTACCAGACCAGACTATGAGCACCAGAACTCCAACCTGTATGCTATTACAGGTCAGGTCTTTACAGTTTCAGTCGCCCTTGTTGATTTAAAGATGAATACACACACACATACACACACAACCCCGTTCAACTATCTTAGTGAGGACCTTCAATGACATAATGGTTTCCCTAGCCCTTTACCCTAACCCTAACCATTAAAAATGAATGCCTAACCCTGACCCTAAACCTAACCATAACCTAATTGTAACCCTGACACTAAAACCACATTTTGAGCCTCAAAAAGGCCTTCAAACTTTTGAGGACCGGCGAGTGTGTCCTCACAAGTGACTGTTGGTTCTTACAAGTATAGTAGAATGCAGATTTCAGTCCTCACAAAGATGGCTAGACAAGAACACACACACATACACGTGTATATATGCCCTAAGTGTTGAAATAATATAGTATATTTAAGTCATTATAGTGTAACGAAATGTGTAGGATTAAAACAATAATAATAAGCTTTCATCTAATCAGAAGGGGAAAAAATAGCTGTAGCTTACCAGTTAATTGAACTTCTACCACTTATCTTGGGCTGGATCATGGGGGCAGCAGCCTAAGCAACCTGTCGCTAAAGGTGAGCCCATCCACCCTGCAGAGAAAGCTAATTCTTACTGCTTATAGCTTCAGTCTCATTTTTTTTTTTTGTTCATTTCCCAGAGCTTGTGGCCATAGATGAGGGTAGGGATGACACATCAACAGCTTCACTTTTGTGTGCTTTTAAGCTCTCTCTTCATAATAGACTGCGTGTTGAAGGTGACCATGTCCACATCTCTGTATATGTGGACACTGTCATTTGTTTAACAGTCTCAAGTCGTTGCTGTTATTCAGTTTATGGTTTGAATGGGTTACTACTTGATCTCTTTTACGAGATGAAATTATGTAACGTTTTTTTTTTACCTTTCTCTTTCAGCAATGGACGGGGTGCCTTTTATGATCTCTGAGAAGTTTGCCTGTGCCTCATCTGATGTAAGTCTTAAGTTTTAATCCTAGTGATATTTGACAACATGTCCCCCTGTATCAATTTCCAGTGTTTTGCTTTAACATCTCTGCTCAAAAAGAGTACAACAACCACAGTATATGCCCAAAAGCTATAAGTAGCCTTACATTCATACACTAAGCTTCATTACATTGTCTGATGTGTATTTGGTACGTGAATATCAGATTACATATATTTCTTAGTTGAGATTGCTGTACCCTGCAAGAAAGGGATACAGTGCTTAACAAATTTATTAGACCTACATGTCATAAAAGCAAGAAAATACCCACAATTTAGAAAAGCTTGTTTAAAACTAAAAAGTACAGAATTAACTTAAATGAATTCATATTTTTATTCCCAAACTTAAGCCAGGACACTGAGAAGTCAGAAATTAATCAAGCATAACAACAAACCAAAAAAACAAATTTTTCTGTTCAGGAATGCAACTGAATAACAGTAAAAAATAGGCATAAACTTTATTTAATCCCAAACTCTTGGGAAATAACTTGTTACAGCAACACAAGTAATAAAAAGAAAATTAGAGATGGTAGAAAAATAAAAATATGGAAAAAGTAAGAGTAGTGTACAAAAAAGCAAAAATACAATACTATTTATACAGTGGGGCAAAAAAGTATTTAGTCAGCCACCGATTGTGCAAGTTCCCCCACTTAAAATGATGACAGAGGTCAGTAATTTGCACCAGAGGTACAC